ACATGCACATGCTTTTTTCATAACTTAGGTAAACGCATATATAATATACAATATTATGAACGAATGCAATAAATGCGTGCAATTAAAAAATAAAGTACTTGAGAACGTTAACCATTACCATTACTGATAGCTAAGCTAACAAAATTCATTTAGTTCTTTTTTTTCACTTTTAATGACTTCTTTCAATATTATTTATGATTATTTTTCTAAGTTGGATAAGTATAGTCAAATAATTTGCGTATTGCTTATTGCAATAACGACTACTGCATTTTAACCGTCCAACTCTTCTCTACCCAGCACCCTCCCTGTCTCCCTGTTATCCACTTCCTCCCCCATACCTTCCGAAACTCTCGTTCTCCTCGAAGCTCAGTCTTAGTATGTATGCATACAGTGTTGCTCTCTTCCAACCTCCTGTAACTTCGTTAACCTTAATAAAACTCGTTAGTCCGTTATAGTTATTAACCTTATCCATGTCGACATCTTATTTCTATTTCTTTTTCTTATTGCATTTAACCGCACGATATATTGTATTACCGAATTGATATCCTTCTTAATTTTTCTATTTTTATTCAAATGTTTCCACTAAGAAGAAGAAAAAAGAAAAAAAAAAAGAGAAAAAAAATCATTCTAAGTAACTTCAACGAGAAAGAAAAAGAGAGAGAGAGAGAGAGAGAGAGAACATCGTCGCGATTTTAGGTAAACTTTTACTCTTGGATTAATCGATTTTATAACGATCAAAGGAAAATATATTAAACGACCTCGATAGTATAAAGTTCTAAATCTTTGTTTTCTTTTGTCGACGTTTATGAATATAATTTTATAGGAAATAAAAAATTTGAAACTTAATTGAAATATCCCCATTAAAATATCTTATATTAGAAAGAAACAAAATGATAAAAGTTATTTTAAATATATTATTTCGTAAATATTATTAAAGCAATATATAACTCAGAGTGCGTAATCCCTTTTTTTCTTAGTTTCAAGGTTCGATAAAATCGATAGATCAAACGATAAGAAAATTCATCTATAATGGTTACCTAATGGCTAGGTATGTATATTCGCGTAATCCGTAAATAGCATCTCGTCCGAGTCCATCCACGTACTCGTTATGCGATCAAGAATTAAGACAGTGACTGATGATGGCAGGATCGTTAATTAATCTCACGGCTTTCCCAAGGTAGAAGCAGGATGCCGTTAATTTCGACGATATTGTATGTGATAATGGTGAGACGTGATCAAGGTGGATTCAACAATGGATAACTATTTTCATGTTATAGTAAAATATAGTAAATATTATAGTGTATATATATATATATATATATATATATATATATATATTTTCCTTGAACGAAATATCATTTAAAAAGAAAAAAAAAAGATAAGTAAGAAAAAAAGAAAAAAACTAAAATTAAAGAAAATTATTAATGTAAATACAAAAGTACGTACTTTGAGTGTAATGATTATTTTCATGTTAATTAAATTTGATAAAAGTAAAAGTGTAATGTGTAAAAATTTTCCAATATCATTTTTAGAAATTAGATAGTTTCAATAGAAACAAAAAGATTAAAAGTACCAAAGAATTATAAATGTAAATGACATATATAATAATGTATATTTCATACACTTTTAATGAATAATTAGTAGACGATAATAGACATTGCTTATTCCTTCAACGATCTACCGTAAAAATATGCGAATCTTAAGTATACGTAATAATAATTCTCTCTATCTTTCTTTTCAAAGAAGAGTTTTAATGGAATTACATGAAAGTTTTCTAATAAACTCTTGAAAAAGGCATCCTGCTTTCGCGATTACTTTATTTAAAAAAAACCTAGATGACTTTATTATAACCCAAGTAATATTACACTTGCAATGATCCAAGAGAAAAATTCTTCTCTTCTTTCGATAATCTTTTAAAAATATCATTTAAAAATGTTTTAAAGTTAATAAAATTCAAAATCAATCATATTTTTCAGTTACACCTTTTATTTCGTTCGTTGTCGTACTTTTTAGTCTTTAATCTTGGATAAAAAAAAAAAAATAAATAAATAAACAAATATAACAATTATTAAAGTTATTACAAAGCCATTTAAAGAGCGCTATTTTTTCACAAAATTATATCTACGAAAACTTAAATTTATATCCATGTTATACTAACAATGAGATATTTTAATATCGAAGCGTTGATTACTATATGAGTAACACAAAAAATAATCTTTATATGTAATAATATATTCCAAATGTGTTTATGAATACGTATTTCACTTTATTCTAAAAATTTGCTTGGAAAAACTATTAGCTCGATAATAAAAACGCAAAATCCAACAAGATAACCGATAAGTAATAATAAAAAACTGGGAGTTACGCTTTCGAGGTCGATAATAGTTTCAGATTCTGTCTCGTCGTCCGAATGAAAATAATTTCCATTCATTGTAATTAACCGAGCCCAATATTTTATAATGCCATTCTCTATTAACTCTTGCATTTTTATATTAATCCTTTTCAAGCATGGAAATCCTTTCCAAGTAGCGATAGCTAAAGGATGAGTTCCCATATTTTCTTTCAATATGTTGACGTGAGCTGTCGGTAAATTTAATAATTGATGATCGGAAACATTTAGTTTAACGACGAGTGCTATACTTGTATTTTTCCCTTTAAAAAGATCCAAAAGTTGACGAATATAATCATCGTATGAAAATATATGAAATTTTTTATGAATATTCCGAGTAAGATCTTTTTCCTCGTAACTGTCGTCTTTATCTTCACCTTTATCATTGAACAAATCCACGTATCTTGAAGTTCCACCCAATTCCAATCCGGACGACAACAATTCCGTCATTGTCTCTATTTGAAGATTTGACGCATTAATGAGTTGCTCCGACAAGGACGCAAGGTAATATTGAATTATGAAGAAGCTAAAAAGTGCCCAAGAAAGGAACAATAAACGACTTGATGTTTCTACTGGTTGACGAAATACCGAAACACCAAGGACTAATGCTAAAACGTCTAGAAAAGATATGTTTTTGATCAAGAAAAATTTCACGATTATTCCTAATAAGAGAACACCTAATATGGCTAGCCATACAGTTTTTCCAAATGGTGCAATTAAACCACGTAGCGATACGTTAGATGTAGTTGGCAATATCCAAACTAATGGTACCATGTCGTAAGCGATCGTAAAGTCTGTATTTTTATCAGGATTCCATAAACGACCACCTATTAGGAAGTCAATTTTTATACCGTTTTGATACGTTATCATCTTAAAGTCATTGTCAATGCTTTCGTTGCCCGTCAATGTTATCAATTCTCTTATCAATCGTCCGTTCATACTAGACAATATCTCCTCGATCATGAATCCTTCCAATCCTAATATATTCTCATCGCTCGTATCGTTATTCACAAAAGAATAAGGCGGATAATCATGATAACCAACAACGAGTTTACAACCGTTCAATCGAAAGTCTTCAATTTCACTTTCACCTTTCCAAATGTTTTCCTGACATTTGCTTAAAATAATTGGTGCAGATGGAGTACACAATTCATTTGGCTTAAAGGATCGAGTACCTGCTAATAAGACGATATCTTGAATATTCCCTATAATAATGATTTTACTAATTCGTTCCAACCACATCCACTGTTGCATATTATTGGCTTCTTGAAGAAAGTTATCTTCGTTCTTGAAAATTCTCGATGCTATTATTAAAATAAATTCGCATGACTCGTAAGTGCATAACTTGAGATACTGGGTACAGTTTCTTCTTTTTAAATCTTCCAGATTTTCGATGGTAATAATTACGAACGATATTTTTTCGTTCTCATTAAAAACTTCGGCACTGTTCAACGTATACATAGCGATGTTCGATTGAAATATTCGTACGAGTAAATCTATATCAGCTAATTTATCTTCGGAAGAGTTTGCTATAAGAACCGTCATTGAAGATTTCAAATGATCCTGTAGAAAACTCATGACGCAAGGTGTCCAATATGAATTTAGATGACTCTTATTATATTGTTGCATCGTATTAGCAATGATTAAGGAACGATCACCTTCCTGTATTCCTTCAGACTTCTCCAACTGTTGTAATTCGTACCAAAACTCTGGCACCATAATGGAAGAAACTATTTGAAACAGCACTCCTATGATCACGATTGAAGGCATCGTCATACTAAATAGCGAACTACAACGAGACTGAAGTAGTTCATTTCTACTTTTTTCTTTCTCAAAATGCAGAATATATCCAAAGTTCTAATCGAAACTGCACGTAATAATCATTGATATCACGCTCTTTTCCTAACTAACTAAATATTATTTTAACAAATATACTCGAATGTATGAGGAAGATCACGCGACTTGAATATACCAAGAATTGTAATTGTAATTCTATAGGTATATCGTAAAATTGAATCTTTTATTTAGATCATTACGTAGTACATCTTTGTTTTATTTAACGATACAATATTTTTATCAAATTTCGTCGAAAAAAGGAAACAGATTTTTTCGTCTTTCAATTAAACTTTTAAAAAATAATGAAAGAAAAAAGAAAAGAAAGAGAGTTGTTAATGTCTATTAAAACGATAAAATAAGTGATATCTATCGCGTGTCACTTTTACACTAACCATAATGGTCTCTATGCAAATATCGTACAAACGAGCGTGGCACTTGAAAAAAAAGTATGCGCTTCGGTCATGCGATCTTAACATTAAAATAACATACAGCAAAGTGCTGACGGATTCGTGCATTGCGCAAAGCGTCTTTGCCTTTGCGAAAGTAGTACAACCATCAGCTTTGCTTTTACTCGGAGATAAAATAAAAATTTGATCGTAATAACTCAGAAAAGCAAAAAGAAAAAACATTTTATTTTCTCCAATGTTATCCGATTAATATTTGTTACAATTGTTTTTTACAGGCGACAAATTAAAAATACAATAAAAAATCATTCACAGATGCTCATAATTTTTTAATTTTTTGCGATCGAGAAACATGATCTTTTTTGTTTCAGAGCTTTCGTAAGGATATTATGCGTATGTTGTCCAAGACGAATGAGAAGAAGATATCAGCCAGCATTCCGGTGTAAACCTAGTCAGGTGAGTTTAAAATTTCTATAAAAATATATTCAAATACGACAAGTTTTCTCTTATATATAATTTTTTCTTCTTTTCAGCATTTAAAAATTGATTTTTATGTTTCACTTTCTTTTTTTGTCGACAATTAAAACGATAAAACGAAAACGTGTATCTATTTATCGTTGAATGTTTTACGCTTGTAAATGGCAAATTATACAGATAGACGAAATCGATAGTTGGATGAAAGTTTTCTCATTCAGAGAATATCATCGAGCTTTGCTTACGAGTTCGTCAGTTCGCTTTCAAAGTTATTCGAGTTGTTCACTCGAGTTATTTATCGTGTTCTTCTTCTATTAGCTTAATTAATTTACATCAACAGGTGAAGTTGATATTTACGATAAAAGCACCGTCCAAGTTATCGCTCATAATCTCTTATCGAATACGCGAAGATGTGAAACGAAATAAAAAGAGGCTTATGTGATACTCTAAAAAATTGAATTTCTCGTTTCGATCAGTTTTCTTTTTTTTTTCTTTCTGTGAATTGTACAATATTTTCCAACTTTTTCATATTTTTTATTTTAAATTTTTAAAAAGCTCTTATCGAAGAATACAGATTTGTCGAAAAGAAACTCTTGAATTGTAAACCATCAACGAGAAGGATTTCAAAAAATCCAAAAGGCATTATAGTCGTATTGTATAGTTAATAGCGACAGCAAGTAGTGTATGTTGAATGTCCTCATTCTCGTCTATCTCAGTCTCGTAGAAGCTTTTGTCGAAGTAAAGTGGGTTGTCGTTCTTGTCTGCTATTCCAATCCGATGGATTTCGTTATTGTAAATTCAAAAAGATGGCATTAGGTTTTGTAATCATTCCTCTAACAATCTGCTATTGATTGTATATAACTATAATTCATATTACATTAATATAATTAAATACATAATCACTACGAGAAATGTTGTTCTAAAAAAATCGATTTAAAACATTTATAGAATACGTGGATAATTAAATATATGCATCTACGAAATATCGACGAAATTGTTTTTATTATGCTGATAGTATTAAAGTAATAAATAGATAAGTACAAATAGTATTAAAGTAAATAAATAAACAGAGATCAATTTCCCGATGAAAATGATATTTATTTATATAGGAAATATTCCTATTCATAATTCTTAATCATATGTTTATAGTAATAATACAAATACCACGCCATAAGTATATAAATTCCCGGAATTTATGTAGGTTAGTGTGTCAATAACTTTGTGAATGAAATAATATAGATTAATGAACCAACGAAAATATTTAATATTTAATTGGGAATACCTCTGGAATTAAGAATGATCAAAATTTCATAGTAATACCGTTTTAAAGGGCAGAGATTTCTTTTCTCTACCTTTTTCACAATATTTATAACAATTATTTAACAATATTTAACAATTATTTCGCAATATTTATAACAATTATTTAATGTTTATAAATAATTTGTTATAAACAATTTTCAAAGGCACATATAAAGATCAATTTTAAAGAGAAAATGTTTCTCTATCTATCTTTAAATACAATTATTTAATAATTCGTTATAAATAATTTATTATAAATAATTTGTTAATAACAATTTATTCTAAACAATTTTCAAGAACATACGCAAAGGACAATTTTAAAGAGAAAATGTTACTTTATTTTTTCTTCACGATATCCTTAAACAATTATTTAACAATTTATTATGAATAATTTGTTATAAACCATTTTCAAGAACATATATATCTATATATATATATATATAAAGGGCATCTGGAATGGATTCGCAAATTTATCGATATTAAGTATGACGTTTGGAAGAAAACATTAAATGTTTTTATCGAGACGACGTAACTCTGAGCTCGGATATCCGTAGAAAACCTGATCACTGGAGAAGAAAGGAAGAAATTATCCAACAAAGTCTCTAGAACACCTAGAAGAAACACCTAGCAAGTGTAGCTTCCCTTTTTTTCAGAGATTCTCATCCGGAAGGTACTATTCTGCTTACTCGCTCCACCACATACGAAGAAGCCGAGAGAATTCGGGTGAACAAACCTACATTTAACGACGGGATATCGACGCGACACGATCGTCGAAAGTCGTCGAATTCCTCGAGTACCTACGCCTGCATTATATCAAGCCCTCTCCGTTCCAACCAATACGGAATAGTATGGCGTCGTCGGTACGCGAATGTTCAAATAATAATTCGAATAAGAAATGTCTCGTCGAAAATGAAAGACGAAATCGGGCACTTTTCGTATTCATATTTACGAAAAATCGAATACATTTAGAAAGAATAAAAAATGCGCGCGATAATATCATTTCATAGTAGTGTCTCACTTCTCTTGATGTTACGTTTTTTTCACCGATCGGTGAAAAAAATCTTGTATCGTTGCAAACGCTCTTTTGGACGCTTAAGTGGTCGGAACGTCAACGTGTGTATCTTTAAAGTTTTGCCATCGGTTAGATTTGATGATTATTTAATAAAAATAAGAAGAAGAAAGCACAGTAAAACATATGTGTATATATATGTATTATCGCAAATGTCGCGGCAGTATTTCGAGAACGTTTGCTTTTAATTAATCGATAATATTAATGGCACTACGATCATAAAACGATGCGTTTTCCACATATCCAATGAAAATCCTACCCAAGTAAATCGTTTCTTAACTGACCCCTAACCCCTGACCCTTACCCACGCCTTTTAACCAGTTAACCGAATCGCTCAATGGAGGAGACTTGTCGCCAACCCCGTAGAAAACAAAAAACCTCGGTACGTTGATTTGTGAATGTATAACAACCGTCCACACACGCACATGCACACGTACACGCATACACGTGTGGGAATGCGCGCGAGCGCATATATATGTATATACATACATATATATATATATATATATATATATATATATATATATATAGGTATACGTATACATATTTTCTCTCCTTCTTTCTTTCACTTTTCCAACTTTCTTTCTGCTCGAGTTAAATGAAACACCCTGTATACATTTTTTATTGCACTCGCACATCGATAAAACGAAATTGGAAAAAAAGAATAAAACGTGCACATGTAAATTAATTTAATAATGTACGCGAATCTTGTGTAAGTGGTTTGAAATCTTCCTGGACACTCACTGAACTGGCACGAAAGTATATCCCATTTTTTCCTTCCGTTCGATAAATCCGATCGTTTGCATGACGTCGTCAGAGATAATTTAACGGTATATCTATGTATTTCAAGCAGATTGGAGAAATGATTAAAAATTAAAGAAAAAGTTTTATACTTGTAGGTAATTATGAAAAAAAAATCCAACCGCAGCCCTTTTACCAGATGCTTCCAATATTTTCGTAACTTTGACAATAAAGACAAATATGTTGGGAATCGAGTGTCAAAATTATTCAGGATTTCGTAGCTTTGAATAGGAATGATACGTGCTTATATACACGACAAACATCGGTAATTCAAATGTAATGTCATATTGTAGCCATTCATTGGGCACGAGCTTCGTTAATTCATTAATATCATTTATTCCAATGAATGATTTGAATTTATCAAAGAGGGGAAATAAATAAGAAGAGATTTATTTTGAAATTCTGTTAAATTTGTGGCGATATTTTAACAATAATTCTTTATTTAATATATTTAACTACAATCTTTTTTCCTATAATTCCTGTCTTTTCCCTGATGAAATTCGAAAGAAGAAAAAAAAAAAAAGAAAAAAAGAACGAACGAACGAACGAAAGTATCGAAATGATATTAACTAAATGAATATACATTAATTCTACTCATCGTTCTAGCATATTTTTATCCTCTTTTACAAGTTATTCGACCGTCACGAAATATCTCTTGCATTATGATTCAGCAACGATATACACCGAATCTATTTAATCTCCGGATTACCGAAAATGAGTCTCGTATATACGTTGACCTCATTAACGAATGGAAGAAATATTAGCGGAGTATCGCGAGATTACTATACGAAAGGAATTGAGATTAATTCAATCAATTCAATCGCATCAAATGATATTCAGTGGATTAAAGAAAATGTAAGCGATCAAGAAATGATTACGACTAATTTTCGAAATTGTCAAAGTTCAATTATAGTCTTTTTCTCCTCCTATCGCATTTGAACTCATCAATGATTATATATCACAATTTTGATAACAATTTTTCTTTCTATAAATAATTCAATTTTTAAACGAATAATTAAATTAAATTATTAAAAATAAATAATTTGTTTAATAAAAAAAAAAGAAAAAAAAGAAATAATAATAATAATAATAATAATAATAATAATAATAATAATTTGTTAAATAAAAAGGATCTCTCTCCCTCCGCGCTCTATTCTCTACGATGTCATTGAAAATGGTTTTTTATTAGCTCGATTCTGACATTTTTTTTTTGTTTTTTTTTTTCGCTGCGAGTCGGCTCTTTTTCACTTTCTTTCGTCAATCGGTGCAAAAGAAGTCAGTGCCACGAAGTACGAACCATAAAAGTGTAAAGCACATGCCAATGATCCGTGGTGACCTTTAAAGGGAACACCGAGGACCGAAAGTGGTTAAGTTAACCAGTAGCATGGGTCGATCGATCGTCTCTGCCTTGTAGGAGGTGTAATAAAACAAATGATCCTAACGCGCACGCGTGCGCGTCCTTAGTCGCGCGCAACTCAAACTATTGTGCGTAGGTATGTTTGCGTATATACTCTTTCTTTCTCTCTCTCTCTCTCTCTCTCTCTCTCTCTTTAATAACTCGATACAAGTCTTTCAAAGACAGTAAGAGAGGGAGAGAGAGATAGATAGATAGATAGATAGAGAGAGAGAGAGAGAGAGAGAGAGGTTTAGTTAAGAAAATTTAGTTAGAAACCTGTTAATGTGATTTTTCTTTTTTTATTGAAACTTGTAATTATATACGTAAATACATAGATATAAATTTATAATTAGATATCTCGTATTTTCTGAGTTATAATTACTTTTGATTAATACACAGGCAATAGTTAAAAGTTCTTTCGTATTATTTCGTTAAAAAAAAAAATTACGATATTATATTTTTCTTCAATTTTAATTGCTTTCTGATCGTTCCAAAAATCTTTGACAAAGATTAAATATATACCGATCTTTCTCTCTCTGTCTCTTTCTCTTTCTCTCTCTTTTCTTCTCTTTTTATCGCGCGTCGTATCGTCGTATTTATTATTACAGCGAATAAAAGAGATGAAAGAAGCTCAACTAGAATGTCGAAGGCACATTTCCAACTATGTATAATACGCATGAAAAGGCGTACACGAATACGAAGCACACACTCACCCATTACAGAATCGACACTTGTTATCCAAACAAACTGACAAACAGCTGTTATAGATCGTTAAAACGATGAGAGAGAATTACTCGGCATTGTTCATAACATTAATTCGGTTTTCGACGATGGGAGAAACAATTTTTAATGGGCCAACGAATAAACAGAATCCAACCGACATTTTGATTTATAATTATTAAGTTACTCGAATCAAGAAATTATTTCTGAAAATAATTATAATCCCATTTAATTTTTCTAATTAATATAATAACAATTAAGCTTGTTTTCACTCCTACGTTTTTTTTTTTTACTTCTTCTTCTTCTTCTTCTTCTTCTTCTTCTTCTTCTTCTATCGACGATGATAAGCACGACCGTTTCATCGATTCGATGAAAGAATTCCTGCAATGTTTTATCACACGTATACACACATTTATTCCTTTACATCACGATCGGTGCACTCTAATATGTACTTAATTATTGATAAATTTGTCAGAGGAAAAAAAAAGAAAACAAAAAAAAAAGAAAAAAAAAAACAAAAACAAAAAGAAGAACAAAAAGAAAAAAAAAGAAAAAAAAAAAAGAAAAGAAAAAGAAAAGAAAGTATATTGATCAATGACATTCATTCTGATTTCAGTACGTTTCTGGAATGGGAACGAGCGGACAGACTAGTAGCGTTAGTTATAGTAGCGTCAGTCAAAGCAGCGATGGCGGTGCTTGTGTGTCTGGAAGTGGTCTACCTAATACTGGCGGAATGTGACGTCACCCAGGGGCCCGTTCGGGGCCACGTCGAGAAAGAGCAATACGTTTTCGTGACGCGTGATAGTCCTGGTCACGCAGATAGACAAATCTACGATATAGAACATATACATATGTATAATGTGCGCTAAGGATCTGAAAAAAAAAAAAGAAAAAAGAAGAAAAAAGAAATGATCAGCTAGATGGGACGTATGACGAAGAAAAGGGAACAAGATCTCACTGTGCTGCGTCCAAAAGCTGTACAGCAAATTGCGTTCATATATATATATATATAATTGTAGGTATACACATACATAAATTTAGTATTAACGACGATATATGCAAAATTGACATTATTTTTTTGATTAATACTTTTTCTCAATTTCACTTTCTCGCATTTGCTTTAGTTTCTATATTGTTTTGCATTTACACAATGTGATAAGTTGATGCGATAAGTTGATACGATAACAGAGAACCGTTTTAAATGTCACGATGTAAAAAATGATGGAAATGAAAAAAACGTAAGTATAAGTTTAAGGAGACACTCCAAAGGAAAGAACATTCCGTTTGCTTCTTGCTTTTTTACGTATTTCTTACCCCTCTCTCTCTCTCTCTCTCTCTCTCTCTCTCTCTCTCTCTATCTCTCTTTCTCTATCTCTTTCTCTCTCTATCTCTCTCTCACTCTCTTTCTTTCTTTCTCTCTTCCTCTCTCCCCAAATATTGTTAAATATTTATACAGTAGATAATTATTACGCTACGTTTAAAAATCTTGAGATCAGTATTAAAAGTCCAAAGTCGACAGGCATCAAGAAGAATCACTCATTTATAAATTATGATATCTTCATTGTTCACGAGAAATTGAAAAATTTACGATTAGGTATATATTATACATTTATCTAAATCCATAATGAACATAATAATCATCATTGTATAAACATTGACACGCATCTGTATATAAAAGCAGATATATTCGGAGCGAATTTAATACATATAATAAATATAATATGTATTATCATATACTACGTAATTCACAATTAGGAAGCAATTTTTGATATCGAAAAAGAATGAACGATTCTTTAAAGCTTTGGATACTTTTTACGTAAACAATTTTTGAGACGCGCGATACGAAAGAAAAAAAAAGAAAAAAAAAATAAATAAATAAATAAATAAATAAAAATAAAACGAATATCTGTACTATTTTAGTTCAAAGACTCGTAAATTTTTGTTTCTTTCATATCCCTCATAATTAGACATGTGAAAGATGTAACTACATGCCGATTAATTTCAAGACAAAAAATAAAAGGAATATAGAAAACAAAGTGAGACATTTTAATTGCATGTAAAATGCAAGACACAAAAGAATAACTAGCTTAGAAATTAATTAAATTAACCGTTTGTTCTACTTGCATATCTGAAGTACGTTGCGTTAGATTCATAGAAATATTCGGATGCAAAGGTATGCCTGAAAATTATGATTGCGTGATGAAAATGAGAATGAATTCAGGTGATACCTTAATATTCGAATATTTTTCTCCAAGTCACTGTAAACGCGTCAGGTCTTTGGAGTGTGTCCTTCATCAAATCATTCCTCTCTAATTCTTTATTTTACGATTAATCTTCGTACATGGTATTAACGTTCATTAAAATCTATGAATGAAAATCAAAGACGTGAAACGAAATTAGCCCTTTAACTATTACGAGATATAAAGGGATATAATGCAAAAGAAATAATTACTTTGAATTACATAATTTATTTATTCTAATTAAAAGAGAAAAATATTATGTACATGGTCAAATGAAGTCCACGTGATTAAAAGTTTTGTCGTAAATTGATTTCAGGATTGCGACAAGAATCTTGCTCATAGATTACTTATGGAAAAAAAAATTAAAAAAAATAAAAAAAATAAAAGAAAAAAAAAAAACAAAACAGAACAAAAATGAAAAAATATTCGATCGAGAAAAAATTTTAATTCTATAAGAAATTCACGTATCTCGAATAATATTACACGAAATATTTCTAGTCACATGAAAAAGGAATAAATTATAAAAGACTGCAACGTGTACCTTTATAAATTATACAATCATAATGCTATTACAATTAGTTTTCTTGGATGTTACAATCTATAATCTCTATATAAGTCTGTAAATACTCCATTATTCATTTAAGTTAAATTATGCTAGATCATTGGAATGTATGTAATAAATAATATATAAATTAACATGAAAACTGAAAAGTGGAAGAACTTAACAGTGACTGAAAATTAATAAATGAAATAAAAAGCCAAAAATCATCAAAAAGCATAACCTTCCATTATATTTGCTTTAGAACGGATGATAAAATTAATTATCAGAGAAAAACCCATTCGAAGTCTTCCTCAATTTGGCAAATTACGAGCGATTATATATACGTAATCATACAATTTTTTGCATATGTAACAATTTATTGCAAATTATATCATTGGTATGATCTCAAATTTTCTTTTCGATTATAAAAAGAAATCGATTAATAAAATCGATTATGAAAAGAAATTTAATTTAAGTTCTTCATTTAAGATAGAATTATCGTGTAAATATATATATATATATATATATATATATATATATATATATATATATTTACATAAAATCACCCGTATGAATGTAATTAACAATGTCGTAATCTTGGATCAGTATTATCGTGTATTTCAGTTATTTCGTGTTCATCGTTAAAGAAAAACAATTATAAACAGTGTTTATCTATTTTTCGTATATCACCAAAAATGTGATTTGATAACCAGTATCCAAGTTATAAAATTTGACAAAAGCACAATTATTATAATTGCGACTCTTTTACTACTAAATTAAGAAGAAAAAAAAAAAAAGAAAGATCTATATTGCCACTGGCATAAGTAATAACTTGTCATTATTTTCAACTTAAAAATGTTAACGATAAAAACCTAAACTAAACGTTATGTTGTTATGGTCAAGAGAACTGAAATAAAAGATCAACACTATTGACAGTTCCGACAATGTAAAATTGTAAACAGTCATAAATTATGTACAATAGATTATTCTTTACCTTGGAAACCATAGCGTTTTCTTGGCTGTAAATATCCTATAGATAGTGAGAAAAACGAAAAATATTATAACTTAAATTTCTAAGCGACTGGCACATAATCGAAAAAAAAAAAAAAGAAAATAGAATCGCTGTGACTCACGAGCAAAAACCGTGTTGGTAAGACCACTTAAGTACCTCTAAAAGAAAATGTCTCTAATATGCTGTCCTTTATAATAAATACATATATGCAATTATTAACCGAATGTTTCACATTTCTACACTTAAGTTGCATCTTTTTTGATAAACACATCTCTTGATAGCTCTAAAACAGATGCTACAACAACTTGTTGTATCCTATACCTGTAACTATGTATGATTTGCAATAATATAAAATTGTTATTGTATTAAATTATTATTTAAAACAATCGAAAAATATAATTTTCAAAAAAATACAAAACCACAGATATAAATAGAAAAAAATATATGTAATACAAAATCAATGTCCCATTGCAGTTATTAATAATTTATAATTAGAATCGCTATCTTTATCTCAGCTACATAAACCTTACTTATCAATAAATAAGATTCAAAATGTTTTGAAATGAACTAAATGTTTAATAAAAATTCGCGATGGTAATGTAGGTATCGACAAATCTATGCGAGATATTTTTAAAAATCAATTTTATCGACAACAATAAAAACGATTTGCAGATGGTAAATAAAGTAGCATAGAAAGTCGGTAAGTCAGTAATTACAGCTACTATCATCAATCGATGAACTTACCAAGGAAGAAGATTGATGTAAATCTATTTATAGGCACATCTGAAAAAAAAAAATAACCGACTTTAATTCATAAATACTAGATGAAAACAGTAATGCCAACGTGAAGATGGTAAATGCATTTGCATCGAAGGTCGGTAAGGTAGTAATTGCAGTTTTTCATATCATTTGATTTATCACTTACTATGAACTTCATTTCATCTACATTTCTGAATGCTGGTATATCATTTCTGGATGTATACGTAAAGTCTTGCAGATTTTTTTTATCAGAATAATCAGAACCAGCTCACAAAAGAATGATGATATAATGATGATAATGATTACCATATATAAGCTATTTTGCAATTTGTGCTAAGGCTGCGTTGACATTATTTACTGCACAATGCTGTATTGACATGAGCCAAAGATTGATATGAAATATATATGAAAATTAAATTCATATAAAAAAAAATTAAGAAAATATTATTGATTTCCTCTAAGGATTATATAAAAAATGTATGATTATTCTTAATTAAAAATCTATATGCTTGGGTATTTAGATGCACTACTGAGTGCAAGTTGCTGTACCCCACAAACGTTCACGCATTATTTAACAAATGTCATCATTGTTACAAAAAAATATCTTACTTCGAGAAAAGATTATACTTTATTTTTAAATTAAAAGTGAAAGGACTCGAATTTGAAAAAAAAAAATACAAAGCTAAACTATACTTTAAAAAGAAAAATTGACTCTACTTAAACAAAATTCAATGACTTGACTTTATTTAAAAAAAAAAGTTGAAAAGAACCCTATTAATTAACTAAATGTAAAAACTTGGACTTTAATCGCAAAGATTCTAATTTTTCATGAACGCGAGTACGGAACGTAGAAGTAAAGAAATGAAATGATACATCATTTCCATCCAGGACTATTACTACACAACTAACTGTCAACGTGATAAAAGAGATATTGATAAGACCACAAGCAATTAATGAAGGATTCGACATGCCGACCGTCTTCGAAAAATGACTTGTAGTCGATAGTTGACCTCTTGAACCACAGTTTGTGGGAGTCTCTTCAGCATATAGCTCTTTTTTGATTCGTGTCCTAACAATTGCATTGAATCATTCTCTACGTGGGACGCAAGAAAAATTTTTATTTAAAGATATTTACTTAATTAAAAAAAAAGAAAAAAGAAACATGAAAGATTCATTAATATTTGATTTGTCCCGTTAAGCTATCATACCCTGCAGACAATCAATGAACTCAAAGAATCCACCGACCGTGCACATCTATACGAGCACATTTAATCGGATGCTCCACCAGATATAATATTCTAGTTTTAATCGATAATTACGAACTAAGAATAACTCGTCTCATTTTGAAGATAAAAAGGTCTCGATAAAAAGTGAAGAGTATAAAAATTGTGACATTTTTATTTTACATCTACAAATATTTTATGTATATACTATATATAAATATTGTGAATATAATTGAAATCTCGAAGTGCAAGTTTTAATATATTTATAACTAAGTATCAAACTAATTCAAAGTTTTTTGCTAACGTCACAAGATCTGGGAGTTATCTAATGTTCTCATTTAATGCAAAATTTTGCGAACTATTTTATACTATTATATCATGCAGTGCTAAGCATCAACAAAATATAAAAAAAATATAGACATGTTGAAAGGTTCTAAAATTTCCTGAAACTTCACAAATCCCCAGAGAAGGAACTTCGCACTCCTGAATGAAAATCACAACCTACGTTTTATCTGGTCCCTACCTAGTTACTTAAAATTAGGTGAGACGTTCACTCAAAAAAGGAATGCTACCTATCCAGCTATCGCTATATTTAAAAAGAACAAAACATGCACAACAACACATACACTCCATGGATCTCTCACATATCGTCAAAGTGCAAAAATCCTAGAACTAGAGAGTATGCCTCAGGCGCTACTATCGAATTTTGTATTATATTTTGCTTTTCATTCACCCACACATACGGATAATATAATTATATATATATATATATATATATTAATTAATTAACAAACAATTAATAATATATTATATATTCACAGTTTAATTTTATGCTATATTAAATATTGCATAAAATATATATACGTATACATGATATATAACGTAAAATATTATACTCTACTAGACGATCATATATTTTTCAGCTTTTCTACGCATACTGATGGATATATAGCCGACAGAATACTTTTAATACACGTAGCTGTCCATCATTCGTCTTAGTTTATTTCTTTTACGCGTCATTTGATAGAGAGCTATAAAAAGGGTGAGAGAGAACGAGAGATAGTGAGAGAGAGAAAAGAAAGAAAGAGAGAGAGAGAGAGAGAGAGAAAAGAGAGAAAGAGAGAATAATAACACTCGAATGAAACGAGGAAACAATTACAAGGCATTGGCCTTGGCAGAAAGTTTGTCCTTTAACGAGCATATAAACAAAAATCGCTCGGCTTAGCGAGTGGTAGGAAGAATTCCACAGATTAATACGACACTCGGTGAGTGTTGGACGTATCGCAGAACTTCTTAAGTAATAAGTGTAAAAATTTTAAGTTCTTCAAGCGTCCATTATGTCGAGGATGATAGATCTATATCGATATAGATAACCGATTACATTTATACATGTGTTGTGTCCTGAAAGAACAAAAGTGTCCGTAAGTAAATCTTTTGATTTTATTTACGAGTGGATTCCTTATATATCCAGTTTACTTTCATGTGAATTTTTTATTATTATATATCAGGCTAGTGTCTTCTTGTTTCATCGGATTGAATCGTTTAATTTACAGTGCAATTAATTAGCATCTTTTTCTCTTCATTTTTGTTAACAATGATAATATTGAAATCGATCATACGTTTACCTGATTTCGTCAATAAAAAAACAGCATGTAATATGATTTACGTAACATGCCATTGCTTTTTACTTAGCCTAATTAATCTGCTTCGATATATTGATATTGATGAATCATAAAATGAACAAAAAGACAACTTCTGCGACGGATAGATTCTTTCAGTTAAATGGTGGATTATGATCTTGTTCTTTCTTTAGAACAGTCACTTAATTGAAGAAATCGTTCAAAATTTTTTTTTTTAATATAAAATTAAATATTTCAATAAATTTATTTGAAAATGAGTTTTACTTTATTTGAAACACAACTTTATTACGAATTTTACGAAATCTCTCATATGTGATAATCATTGTTTGAAAAGCAAAAAGACTTGTAAAGTCATAGTCTGTTTAGATCTAATTTATAAGTTAATCATTTTTAACTCAGGATTTTCAGCATTAATTATACTAATTACTGTTTCTCCCTTCTCTCCATGTTTTCTGCATACTTATCTATGCATGTACCTAAGTATTACTTGTCTAGGTAATTAACAGTTAGTCTAGATTTAGTCTTATGCTTCTGCCTTGACGGCTATCATTGTGCTGATAATTGCACGATATACTTTGCAGTTATGTGTGCATTTTATATGGTGTATTGTACATCGTTTCGTGATAATTTTCATATAAATATTTAATATCTTATATATCAAATATTTTATTATTAATATTGTTTTGCATAATAGAAACATTACATTTTGTGAAAACTTTGTAAAACTTGTATATTACTAGCAGGTATAAGTATGTACTAGTATGTTTCCTTAAATCATTTATATAATAATCATTAGCCTTGTCAGTCGATTACAATAGGTACATACATATATCAGCATGTAAATTAAAAAACGTGATTGAGCTAAGATGTCAAAGATACTTTTTTTTTTGCACTCTGGCGATATGTGAGAGTTGTTGTGTATATTTTGTTCTTTTTAAATATAGCGATAGGCAAGTAGGTAGCATTCCTTTTTTGAATGAACGCATCACCTAATTTTAAGTGACTAAGTAAGGACTGGATAAGACGCAGGTTGTGATTCCCATTCAGAAGTGGGAAGTTTCGTCTTCTAATTAATTATAGCTAATTAAGGAGTGGGATTTGTGAAGTTTCAGGAAATTTTAGAACCTTTCAACATGTCTATATTTTTTTTATATTTTGTTGATGCTTAGCACTGCATGATATAATAGTATAAAATAGTTCGCAAAATTTTGCATTAAATGAGAACATTAGATAACTCCCATATCTTGTGACGTTAGCAAAAAACTTTGAATTAGTTTGATACTTAGTTATAAATATATTAAAACTTGCACTTCGAGATTTCAATTATATTCACAATATTTATATATAGTATATACATAAAATATTTGTAGATGTAAAATAAAAATGTCACAATTTCTATACTCTTCACTTTTTATCGAGACCTTTTTATCTTCAAAATGAGACGAGTTATTCTTAGTTCGTAATTATCGATTAAAACTAGAATATTATATCTGGTGGAGCATCCGATTAAATGTGCTCGTATAGATGTGCACGGTCGGTGGATTCTTTGAGTTCATTGATTGTCTGCAGGGTATGATAGCTTAACGGGACAAATCAAATATTAATGAATCTTTCATGTTTCTTTTTTCTTTTTTTATAATTAAGTAAATATCTTTAAATAAAAATTTTTCTTGCGTCCCACGTAGAGAATGATTCAATGCAATTGTTAGGACACGAATCAAAAAAGAGCTATATGCTGAAGAGACTCCCACAAACTGTGGTTCAAGAGGTCAACTATCGACTACAAGTCATTTTTCGAAGACGGTCGGCATGTCGAATCCTTCATTAATTGCTTGTGGTCTTATCAATATCTCTTTTATCACGTTGACAGTTAGTTGTGTAGTAATAGTCCTGGATGGAAATGATGTATCATTTCATTTCTTTACTTCTACGTTCCGTACTCGCGTTCATGAAAAATTAGAATCTTTGCGATTAAAGTCCAAGTTTTTACATTTAGTTAATTAATAGGGTTCTTTTCAACTTTTTTTTTTAAATAAAGTCAAGTCATTGAATTTTGTTTAAGTAGAGTCAATTTTTCTTTTTAAAGTATAGTTTAGCTTTGTATTTTTTTTTTCAAATTCGAGTCCTTTCACTTTTAATTTAAAAATAAAGTATAATCTTTTCTCGAAGTAAGATATTTTTTTGTAACAATGATGACATTTGTTAAATAATGCGTGAACGTTTGTGGGGTACAGCAACTTGCACTCAGTAGTGCATCTAAATACCCAAGCATATAGATTTTTAATTAAGAATAATCATACATTTTTTATATAATCCTTAGAGGAAATCAATAATATTTTCTTAATTTTTTTTTATATGAATTTAATTTTCATATATATTTCATATCAATCTTTGGCTCATGTCAATACAGCATTGTGCAGTAAATAATGTCAACGCAGCCTTAGCACAAATTGCAAAATAGCTTATATATGGTAATCATTATCATCATTATATCATCATTCTTTTGTGAGCTGGTTCTGATTATTCTGATAAAAAAAATCTGCAAGACTTTACGTATACATCCAGAAATGATATACCAGCATTCAGAAATGTAGATGAAATGAAGTTCATAGTAAGTGATAAATCAAATGATATGAAAAACTGCAATTACTACCTTACCGACCTTCGATGCAAATGCATTCACCATCTTCACGTTGGCATTATTGTTTTCATCTAGTATTTATGAATTAAAGTCGGTTATTTTTTTTTTTCAGATGTACCTATAAATAGATTTATATCAATCTTCTTCCTTGGTAAGTTCATCGATTGATGATAGTTACTGTAATTACTGCCTTACCGATTTTCTGTGCAACTGCATTTACCTTCTTTAAGTTGATATTACAGTTTTTATTCAGTTATTTCCAATTGAAGTTGGTAAAATCATTTGTCCAGATGTCACCACTATATTATAAAAAGCTTTATAGTCATAAACAACTACTTTCCATTGTAGCAGCTGGTGCCACCTAGGAAAAAACAACAAAAAATAATTGAAAGTCATTCATTATATATTGTTCTTATATATCAGAAAGTTGTTTTCGTAATTTAACTCGTTATTGAACTTCCTTAGGAACAATGAATCAATGTCAATTCATTATCTTCCATTTAAATAATATAACTACAGTATAAATAATAATAGTATGAAAATAATGATAAATTAATTCTTTTTATACATTAATTCTTTTTCATATGATGAAAATACTCATTCATTTCTACCATGATAGAATTCAGCTTTGAATATTCTTAAAATATCTCGATAATAAAATAATATTAATTAAAACGAAATTTATTAATTTTTTCATACTGTATAAGTATTATAAAAGTTCATTCATTTGTATTATTACGAAATTTGGCTTGTAACGTTTAAAAAGATCGTAAGAATGAAATATTAATAGAAACAAAATTTTATTTATATTTAAACGAAAGGAACATTAGAAAAATTTTTTTCACTTGAAACTAAATAAGATTATTATTAGAATGTTCTCAAAAAATCTGATAAAAATGAAACATTATTAATCAAAAGAATATTTAATTGATATATTTCTTATGAAACATTCAAAGATGAAAACAAGAATGAGATTAAAAATAACAACATTATAGCCATTGTCGTAACGTTATGAAAAATTATGGAAATTTGGAAGAAAATGTGTTTAAGGTCCCATAAGAAGGATTGGTAAACCATATAAAATTCCGTTTTTTTTTTTTTTTTTCTTTTTTTGTTCAGAAACTTTATTTATTACGTACACTAGCCGACTACTATGCATGCGTTGGGGCATTCGGATACAGTGTAAGATCTCGCTTTAGATCGAACCTGCGTTGTTTCTCGGAGTTTCCTTTTACGATTTGAACATTTGCCGTCGTATTTTATTTTATTTGTATTTGTATTTGTTCATTTGCCTTTTCACTAACAAGTTCATCGACATACTTATCATAACCAATTCTCAGCCATTTCGTTCCATTTTGAAAATTTAATACGCTACCATGCGTATTATATAAATGCATCTATATAAGTTGAAAGATGTTAAATGATCGTTCCTTTGGGTCTTCAAAGACGAACTAAATGATAGATCCAATGAAATTAAGGATCATATCATTGTATATATCATGATTAACATTATATAGATCTCAAGGAACTTATGGCATTGAGAATGAAAAGTTATTATCAAGCGAGAGCATCGAAAATCGAAAAAAAAAGCTTCGTCCGACTTGTCTTGCCTCTCAACCACATATATTTATTTTTGTGTGTATTTATATTTATATATATACCTTTTATATAATATGTATATATATATAGTTTTTGTATTTATATATTTATATACAGTAGTGGATACAGGAGAAAGGTAATGACGTTCAATAATGATGGTTTTTTTTTTCTTTCTTCTTTTATAAGAGATCCGATTAGAAAGAAAATTTAGATCATTAAAAATGACTCTCTCTCTCTCTCCCTCCCTCTCTCTCTCTATATATATATATATACATATGTATATGTATACATATATATATATTACACACACACACATATATATATATATATATCGTTAATCGTCGTTACTCCCATGACCACCACGCACGTAGGTGTATCCATTAATAAAGTATAATACCTTATGGAACTAAAACTTATATCGATATATTGCACATTTGACAACAGTTATGTCTTCTTTAAGTACTTGGGTATAGGAAGTGTTCGCTAATAAACGTTTTTCTTACGTGCATCTCTCTCTCTCTCTCTCTCTCTCTCACTCTCTCTCACCCTCTCTCACTTTCTCATACACTTTTACTCACACTCTCGCATACATGTCATACATTCACTCATTTCGATGTACCTAATGTCGTTCCTATTTAACATTCGTTGCGAATCATTTTGTGTCTTTTTCTTTTTCTATTTTTTTTTTTTTATATTTTTTCTTTTTTTCTTTTTTTATTTATTTATTTATTTATTTATTTATTTTTTTTTTTTTTGTTAAAAGGCGAAAAGTCTTTGTTTCTCGTGTATTGGTTTATTTATTCATTTGTTTATTCGTTCTTTTCTTTTCTTTTACCGATTAACTCCTTCCTCTCTCTCTCTCTCTTTTTCTTTTTTCTCTTTCTCTTTCTCTCTCTCTCTCTCTCTCTCTCCCTCTCTTTCGTTTTATTTCACTCACACTATTTAAAAGCGACTATTATTTCTTAATTAGGTTTTTTTTTTCTTCGTATCGATTTCGTTTTGTAAGTATTGATTTAAGATGGCCCATCGATAGGCCACAGATTTTCGTTGATGAGGTTTTATTCTCTCTTTTCTTCTTCGTTGCACATATATATATATATATATATATATATATATATATATATATATAGAGACCATCGATTTTTTTTTCCTTATTTTTTTTTTTCTTTATTAATTTTCGTTGATGGGTTTAAATACAAAGCTCATATTTCATTGTGTTGAATATCGAAATATGTATTTGCTCGATTTATTCGTTGCTCTTGTAAAGTCATTTTTTTCTTGTACGTTATTAACCTGTTCCTTGTATTTTTCTTTACTTTTTTATGTCATTTTGTTTACCCTGATCGTCCTTACGAGTCAGCAGCTGAAAATATCAATTCATTGTATTCATCGTTTTATTTATTCGTCTCATTAATATCTCCATTATTAAGAAGATATTTTAAAGGGGATGATCTATCTATAATGATCTCGATCTACATCCTCGAACGTAATGTATGCTTTGTTTCGTTTTCTTTTGTTTACGTTCTTGTAAAATATGAGGAGCTCTCTTATATTTTTCTTTTTTTTTATTTCTTTTCTGTCCCTCCTCGATCGAGATTAGGTGAATCGTCCAGACGAAATCATCATTGGTGTTGTACGTTTCGAGATCGAGATGAAAAGTCGACGAGAAGGATTAAACCGAGGCATGGAGCGTGCTCGATTGCGGTCCCGTCTGATAAGAGCTGCCTGTTGGAGCTGCCGTTGGTTGCAAGCTAAGTTGCAACTGATGTTGCTGAGCTTTCGCCCTCAAGCAGGCGATGCTCTCGTTCCTCAGTTGCTCTGTGTCCTGTACGACTCCTAAAGAAAATGACAGAATGACGATATTTTATGGATTTTTTCTTTTTTTTCTTTTTTTTTTTTTTTTTTTTTTTCTTTATTTTTTTCTTTATCGTTTTTCTAAATTTTATAATAATCGAGAGAACGGGCACAGTATTTATTACAATATCATCGTGTTTCTACGAGTTCATTATCTATAATATTTAAATAAATGAATAAACGTGCACGTTAATATAAAATATGAATAAGAATGATAAGATTATCCTTATTTTATTTGTTTACATATTTTGTAAACTTTAAGACAATAGACAGAATATTTACTACGATATCATTGTATTTACTGAATTATATTTATTCCATTACTCGTAATAATAAAGAAATAAATAGACGAATGATAATATAAATATAAATTAATAAGAATTAATATTAATATCATTGAATTGTTTGTATAGATTTTAATATGACAATAGTTCATGACGATGAACGAAATTACAGTAATTAACTAATGATAAATTTTATCCTTTTTATTATTATTATAAAAAGTACTTGCCTGTCGACGAAGACGGTCCCATACCGTCTTGGCTCTCTTGTCCGCTCTCAGAACTGGTAGGTCCACCCTGGTGATGATTATGATGAGGGCTACTTCCGCTCCCGTTATGGTCGTTTCCACTGTCCTCGCCACCAGACTTGAGATGTTCCGCCGCTTCGATCGACTTTCGATGCATCCCTACGGGCCCACAGTCAATCAGTTCTTGATTATTTTCGAAATCTTGACTAAAGCCGCTTGTCTTAGACGATTGCGCTGATAGAGACGGACAGAAAAAAAGATTGGACATTTTTCGAGATTGTTTCAATTGCTTATAAGCATTTTTTGCCTTCTCGCCGTTAGATCGATCAAAATAATTTTTATTTCTTTACTTTTCGTTTGTTGTTGTTGTTGTTGTTGTTGTTGTTGTTGTTGTTGTTGTTGATGTTGCAAATCAAGCGATTTAATATTTATAACGACTTTACTCCTTTTGTTATTTTTATATTTTTATTAAAAAAAAAAAAAAAAAAAAAGAAGATATTTTTCTTAAAGAAAAATAAAATTTGTATCGATACTCACCAAGCAACCATGGAGCTACTGACTCGTTCTCTTTAGCACTCTTCAAAATAGTCTCTGGTAGTGGCAAAGAATGTCGAACCATCGCACCGTATAGACCATACTCCGCCATTATGGTACTTCTACCCCAGCATTTTTCAGTTTTGCGCCATTTAGCTCTCCGATTTTGAAACCATACCTGAAATACAAATTAAAACATTCCGAACTTTAATAAAATCATTTCAGTAATATTTCAAAGTATTATAATTGATCATTATTGATATAACTCAATTGCATTAATAATATCTCATTATATATATACATACACACACACACACACACACACACACGCACGCACATCATACACATTAGTAACTTTTATCCAATTAATAATTTTTAAATTGAATGCTCTGATGCCTTTTTACGGTTTTAATTATTATATTTAAAAGGCCTCTAGCCACGATCCTATTTTTCATGCTTTTGATCCAGTTAGGCTACTTGCTAACGATCCAGATGATCCGACCGCCTACCGTGAAGACACGTGGCATATTCTATTAGTCGATTTTAACGAGCTCGATTTCCACGCGTTGACACGTATGTGTATATATACGTATTATCTATCTATTCGAGTCTAATCATAAAAGAAAAATTGTAATATGTCTTAACGAGATCATCTTTCGTCTTTTTAAAGTTGTCGTCTGGCGAGCTCGATTAAATACGACTGATCGTTAAAAGCTCTCTTTCTCTCTCTTCATCTTCATTTCTCCAATTTTTAAGAGTTATTTGCTTAATTGCGCGTAAATATTCCACGTAGATAATAATCGTGAAACGAGACTAGAGAGAAAGATAGAGATAGTGACTCGTTTTCATGAGAGAAACGCAAGACTGTTTTCCTCCGAATTCTCACTCGTTAAATCCACATAAAGTGCGATTATCGTACGAGTCGTCGGCTTCTCGAGGATCTACGAGTATCTCAGAGTAAAACTCTCTTTCTTTCGATGTCACGAATCTTTTCTTCTTTTAGGATCCTTTTCCGTGCCATTTTTGTCGAGTAACGAAGCAGATCGTCTTATTACGAACGATTCCAAGTTTATTACGAGAGAATAATTTTTGTAATTACAGTTAGCAAAAAATAATCTATAGATCTAATCTTGATTAAAGAAATAAAGATAGCTAGCTAGCTGGCTAGCTAGATGAATAGATAGATAGATTAATAGATAGATAGATAGATAGATAGATAGATAGATAGATAGATAGATAGATAGATAGTTATTGGAGTCGATTAAAAGTGAGATTAGAAAAAGAACGTTTACGTCAGTTGCATTCGTCTCACGGTATAGTATATATCGAGGATGTTATTTAAAAAGCTCGAGGTATACGAATCGTGCGTGTAGAGGGATAGAAAAAAAGAGAGAGAGGAGAGAGAGAGAGAGAGAAAGAGAGAAAGAGAGAGAGAGAGAAAGTAGTGGGAAGCCATTGCCAGGGGGGAGGGGGGTCAGGGCGTGTACCAATTTGTAGCAACAATGCTAAAGTCACCGCCAGAATCGGAACGTAATTCGAATGAATGGAAACGCGTTGCCCTGTCAATTTGCCCTGCCACCCCGAAATTATCTTCCGCTTAGATTCGAACAAGCCGTCGCTTTTTTGCCGATTTATCAACGTTAACGTTAACGTCATCGAACGTTTGCTTTCACATCCCCTCTTTTCACAATTTCAACATTTATATAACTAAACAATAATGAAAATAATTCGTACGTTGAGAAGGATACAAAATATTATCCATTAAAAAATATTAACGCAGGATTTATAAATTTGAAAAAATTTTTATAAATCGAATAAGACATTGTCTTATAATTCGATCGATCGATTTCCAAGTTAATTAATTACGAAATTTTTTCTAATCGTAGATTGTGTACGTTCCTTATGTCCTTGTATATTTTAGACGAGTTAAGGGATGAGAAAGAGAGAGAGATAAAGAGAAGGCAACGATAGTTGCAACGTCAACGAGTAAGAGCTTCCTTTATGACGGTAAGTTCGTCGACTCGAAGGAGAACGAGAGAGGGCTTTACCTTTTCCGCACCTTCTCCTTCGTTTCCTAAACCTCCCCTCTTGCTATATCTCTTTCCCTCTCCTTTACTATCACCTTCTCTCTCTCTCTCTCTCTCTCTCTTACCACCCCCTTTATTGGCACACCCTGTGTATAATAAGGAGCGAGTTTGTATTTAGTCGGCCATGCGCAGTACTGCCTGTTGGCGTATCATCGATCAGACCGACGACTGACTATTGGACCAAAACAAGAAGATGAGAATGGAAATGGGAATAAAGAGAGAGAACTAGAGTGAGCGAGAGAGCAAGAGAGTGAGAGAGCGAGAGAGAGAGAGAGAGAGAGTAAAAGGGGAAAGCAGACGCGAGACGGCCTGCCGTCGGCTTGCGAAGGGTAAGAGAGAGAGAGAGAGAGAGAGAGAGAGAGAGAGAGAGAGAGAGAGAGAGAGAGAGAGAGAGAGAGAGAGTGAGGCTTTTGCATAGAGGGGGCAAACGGTGCTAACAGGAAATCCTAGTGTGAGTTCCTATGGATCACCAATACGTCGATGAACACCAAGATAACTCCCACCTGCCTCAAGTACTCTACGATATATTACCCAACCCAGCGTCAACTTTGTGTATGTGCTATATTACGCACCAACGATGATGCCTTCGAGTGAATCGTATACTCAGGTATATCAACTGGACTCCTAAGGACCCTTGAAAATTCACCTAACCGAACCAATGAGTTTTTCTTCAACCACAGATATGACTATATATCTTTCCCTTCTATCATACTTCATCATTGTTTTTCGTTATTTGAGCGTTTTCTTCAAAACTCGCGTCCGACTTCTTCATTCTTTTCCCTCCCTCTCTCTCTCTATCTCTCTATCTCTATCTTTTTTTTTTTTTTATAATGTTTCTAAATAAGTACGATCGAGACATTGTCCCTGAAGATAATTGGAGATCTCGTTACTCTCGAACGATGAGTTTAGTTTGTGATCACTCGATAATGAGATATCGAGTCTCTCTTTTTCTTTTTTTTTTCTTTTATTCTTTTTAGCTCTCTCCTTCTTCTTCTTCTTCTTCTTCTTCTTCTTCTTCTTCTTCTTCTTCTTCTTCTTCTTCTTCTTCCTCTTCCTCTTCTTTTTACTTTTGACTTGCATAAAGAAAAGGGACGTCTTTCGAATCGTCCCGAGGAAAAGGTAAAGATCGTCAGACGTAACCTATGAAAAATCATATTTTCGAGTTTTCATCAACGACGGAAATAACGATGGATGCCCTGTGAAATCCGATTATCGTTGGTAATCCGATATTACACGTCGAAACGTTCTCGCTCAAACGTATTTGATTTATAAATACACGGATTGTAGATATAGACATCGAATGTATACATTATTGTGTTTTATCGCGTTATCATTCATTCCGGAAGCAATCGGTCGTGAATTTATGTTGAACTTTTGTGCCTCGAATAAAATAGCGAATATCGAGAATTCTCCTTATAACCGTGTATGGTCAAATGATTAGTATAAATTGTAATTTTTATTTATTTATTTGTTCCGTTTTTTTTTTATTTTTTTATTTATTGTTTTTTTTTTTTTTTGTTTATAAACATCAAGAAATTATCATCAAAATTATCCTTAAGAATATTTAAAATCTCTGGAATCTTTAAATTCGTGTGAAAGAAAGCAATATCCCTTCTCAGTTTTCTTCAATCCCATGATAGGGATGATGCCTAACCAATTAATTTCGTGGTAGAGAGGGTAGAAGCAAACGGTAGACTTATTTGACGCATAATAAGTGCACGAGGCGTTGCCCTTCGTTTCCTTCGTGTTCCTTCGGTTATCGAGTGGTAAATGGTCGAGTTGGACGGACAAGACTTTAGGGTCTGACCATGGGCTATGTACCCCATGCTGAGGTTGTGGCACGCGTCGGGCACATCATTACGAAGGGCACTTGCTTACCGAATGGCAAAAAGGGTCTCTTCTACCCTTGGATAGTAGTTGCTTCTAACTTGTCGAATTATTAGTAAGCTGGTAAGAGAATCGTTTCGCACGGATGAGCTCATTAACGAGTAACTAGTAAAATTGGCCATTTTTTATTGAAATAAATCGTATCATTTGTATTGTTTATATTGTTTGATTATAAATTATTGAAATATTTATCCTTTAACGTTTGATTTATTTTAGTTGAAATTTGTAAGATGATTATAATAGAATTAGCGTTAATTTTCTCTCTATGAAATTTCATGAAAAATTTAATTACTGCATATAAGTTTAACTATGAAAGTGTATATCACAAATAATTAAAATATTAAATCTTTCAATGTATGATTTATATTTGTAGAAATTAAAAAGAAAATTTCTTTAGGAGTAATTTTTTAATATAAACTGAAATCATTGTAAATATGTTATATAGATTTAAAACAATAAAAATTATATTGCAATAATTAGATGAACAGTAACATCTTCAGATCGTAGATTTTATACATCTACATTTGTAAATTATCTGTAACAAGAGCGATCATTTGTTCGTCGAGTTTCCATACTAGTCTTTTTGCTAAATTCATGGCTGGCTCTGCATGGTCTATGAATCTCGAGCTTTTCACAACACGCAGACTCGGTGGTTTCGATAGCGTTTCATCGGCGGCAAAGGGCGTGGCGAAAGTTCGGTCCATACTTCCAACTTAATTCGGTTAGAGTAGAGATTTATATCCCCTTTCTCAGGTTTCTCGGTAGTTCGGCTAAACACAACCAGGCCACCCTCATGCGATGAGCTTTAGGAGAATTTATAAGCGGTACCGTTGACAATCGCGTAACGCCCAAATTGCTCGGATATACTCGTACTTCTCCGATTTTCGTCGACGCCCTTATTTATTTGCCAGTCCTCGCCGCTAAGTCGATTCGTTTCCCAGACCGAGTAGACTTCGTTCTGATGTGCATTATCGGTCAATTTTTAGGGGTGCCATCCGTCCATCCGGAATTCATCGCTTTGTTTGTCAGCGGCAGGGTTTACACGCGCGAAACTCGTTCAAGGAAAAGAGAAAAGGGGAGGACAAACTTCTGATGATTACTCTCGTGAAATTTTCTTGCCAAAAGTACAATATTCTTTGTGTCAACGAGAAAAAAAAATCTCAAGTAATCAGTTAGAATTTAAAGTCAAGAGAAAATGATAATG